AACTTAGTACAAAGATGCTCTAGGACAATGTACAAACCTAATTAGTTTGGGGTAAAAATCTGTTCATATTAATTCCCTAATAAGCATAATATTTCATAATTTTTTGGTTTTTTGGTTCTAATCACATTTCAATTAAACTTGGAGACATAGATTTTCTGTTACATTGCGCAGACCTCATTAGTTTTACACTCAAATCTGGTCATATTAATTTTCTGATTTGCATAATTAGTTTTCAGCTAAGTAATTTCAAATTATATTTAATGTGTCTCCAATACTCTCAGCACATGGGAGTTCTTTCTAAGCTTTCTTTGATTTTTCATTAATGAGAAAGTTGACCCCGAAGTTAGAGTAACTGTTCAACAGGAATGGCTTTTTAACTCTTCTGTGATTTTTTTTGGCTTGGCTGATTTTGTTCATACTTGACAGGCAGGTCGTACCATCACTAATTGGAAAAACAATCCTGACCCACCGCTACCATGGCAACAGCCAAAATCTGTTTTTTGAATACTTTCGCCAAATTTATTGCCTCCTACCAGTCTTGTAATAGCAGTGCCCAAATGATCATGCCTTTTATTCTGGCTACTACGTTGCGCACTGGTAAGAGATCACCGGCGCCGACGTTGTTACCACTGTCAACGTCATCTCAACGCAACTTTGAACTTTGAATAAAATGTAAATGCTGCCTCCAATCTAGAAAATACTATCGCAAAACGGTTGGAAATAATACATTTAACGGCTGAATACGTCCTAACAACAAAATAAAGTGACTTCTAATGACTGCCATGTTATTTTGCGAACCTTGTATAAGGTGCCCGGTTTTAGTTATAAACAGACGTTAGCTTCACGTTCATGTCCTACCATGATAACAGCCGAAAACATATTGCTTGTTTTTTACCGGTTTTCATTGGCAACCGAAGTATTTTTATTTTGTAAATAAATTTTCGTCTGCTATTTTTATTCAGTTCAAATCGTTCAGCAACATTTTTGGCATATTAGGTGTACATCACATGAAATACTACGGTTGAGAGAACTTGATGTACTGGGGTATGTTGACTGAGTTTTATCATAGTACGAAGTACCAGGAGGTTTCTGCTGGCGGCGTTACCCAGTTCCAAATAAAGATTACCAAACGCCAAATGAGCAACATTTGACTGGTAATCAAGATTCATGTAATCCATGGCTAACAAGCAACATCACAAGCGAAGTTGTAGCATGCAGTACTAGTAAGTCATCCCGTCAGTGGAGTACCGCAGTAACAGGGCATGTTTGCCATCAGCATTGTATTCAAACGAATCACGTGGTGTGCCGTTCTCGTTCAAACCCGGGATTCGATCAATAGGGGAGTCCCAGTAAAAAAAAACACATTGCAAATCATGCAAGTTCAACATTTTCAAACCAATATACTAAAACAGAAATGCTCAGCGATGAAAAAGGATAGATATTACTTTTCACTATACACATCTCTGTTGATACTATCCCTCACATATTCTACTTCCAATTACTCCTGCATAAAATGAACTAGCGTCTTTTCATGTTGACATTCAGAGTAAAATCGTGTGACAGGCTGTTAAAATTGGCTGTTGCATACTCTTTCGCCGGTCTGGAAAACATTCAAGCAACAATGCAGATTTCCCAGTGGGAGTGAGACTATTCGACTCTGCCACTAAAAAATAGGGGTGTTTTCAGCAAAAAACAAATAACCCTGGAATACACACAATATACTGAATTTCGGAACAAATCGTGCATTACTTACAGCAGCAGAATACCACAGAAATATCAGACGAAACATGAAAACACTATATATTGTATTTCAGCCTGAACCCTCTATATTGCAATTCAAGGAATTAACCCCATATGTGCATCCATTTCCCACCTTGGTATCACCCACCCCTGAAAACAAATTCTTAATACCACGCTGAAGCGTTTGGTAATAACATTTTATGCTATTTTATTATTATTTACTATATGTTTTTAAACAGAAGCTTTTTATCATTAAGTCTTTCATTAGCATAATAAAACTGTAGCACATATCTTTCATTGTCCCTACTTCACAATACTTGGATGACTTAACATACAAGTACTGACTGAACATACAGCTGACGCTCTAAGATTGAGACACCGGTACTGCAAATTAGCTCATAAAACTTCTGTGGAATTGACCTTTTCCTGAGTTCTTTGTAAAGAAGAAAGTTTATTAGTCTTTGTTTGGAGGAAGGCCTAAAAACAGGGAC